GGGTGCACTCAGTTGGGCTTCAGGACTACCCACCCCTTAGACAGCAACCCGCCCTCCTGCCTGTTACTTTGAGTCTCCAGGTTCACGAAGACTGGGGGCCAGAGAGGCTGGCCCGCCATGGCTGCCCAGACAAGGAGTTCATCAGATGTGGTGAACTGTTCCCGGGGGATGGTCACCCAGCTCTGCCCAGTAGGCACTGCCACAGTCCAGGTTCTGTTGGAATGACTGTGAGAAGAGATGGGGAGTAGGGGGAGGTGTACATAGGGCTGGGCCCAAGCCATACCAACAACTGCTCTGTTTGGGTTCAAATCCCAGCTCTCCTATTTTGGAGTTGTGTGACCTTGACAAGCAACTTAACTTCTCCCTGCCTCAATTTCCTTATCTACAAAATGAGGGCACCTGCTGAAAGGGCTGACAGAGGAGAACCTCTGTGATAATAAGTGGAATTCGTTTAGAACACCATTTGGGTGCATAATACATGTTATGTGAACATCGGTTATTGTATTTACTGAGCACCTACTCTACACACACACACACACACACACACACACACACACACACATTCACGCTAGAGGCCTGGTGCACAAAATTCATGCACTCGGGGGCGGGGGTTCTCAACCTGGCCTGCGCCCTCTCACAGTCTGAGAACCCTCAGGGGATGTCCCTCAGTCAGACATCCTTAGCACTGCCACAGAAGCGGGAGAGGCTCCCATCACCGCCTCTGTGCTCACCAGCCACAAGCCTGGCTTCTGGCACACTGACCACCAGGGGGCAGCTCCTGTGTTGAGCATCTGCCCCCTGGTGGTCAGTGTGCATCATAGCAACTGGTCGTTCTCCCATTTGGTTGGTTTGCATATTAGCCTTTTATTATATAGGATATGCACACTTATGTCTATGCAACTATTCAGTGAGCAAATATATATTGTGCCAGGCCCTGTTGTAGAAATAGGATAGGACTATGATCAAAGCAGGCAAGAGCCTGCTCTTGGAGCTGGTTTTCCAGTGGGGTTGGCAGATGAGAAACGAATATATAATTGATGGAGGTATGAGCGATATAAAGAATAATCCAGCAGAGTGAAGAGGATGCAGTATGGTGACGGGGTGAGGACTGACTGCTATTTTGGGGAGGGTAGTCAGAAAATATCTCTCAGACGAGGAGACATTTGAATAAATGCCTGAAGGATGGGGTGGAGCTATGCAGTACCTGGGGAAGAATATTTTAGGAAGAGAGAATGGCCAGTGCAAAGGCCCTGGGGTCAACTGCATGGTGTGTTTGAGGGAGAGTAAAGAGGAGGCCCATGTGGCTGGAGTGGAGTGAGTGGGAGGGCGGGGTGGTGAGGACAGGAAGGTGACAAGGTGATTGTGCAGGCCCTGGTGGGCCACAAGGAGGGCTGGCTTTTATCCTGAGTGAGGTAGGAGCTCTGAAAGGCTGTGAGCAGAGGAGGAAGATGCCCTGACTCTGATGTTCACAGGTGTCCTCTGGAGGCTATGGCAGAGAAGAGACTGCAGGGTTGAGGGTGGAAACCACAGCTCAGGGAGAAGGTGACTGCACCTCTAAGCCAGCAATGATGGGAGCTGAGGCTGGTTGGGTGCTGAGGGAGTGGGGGAAGCCAGATTCTGAATAACACTGAAGGTGGGGTGGGCAAGGCTTGCTCATAGATCAGATGTGGGTGAGAAAGAGGAACTAAGGAAGTTCCCAAGCATTGGATTTCAAAGGCCCAAAACAAGTCCGTCATGTAAACAACAAAAACACAAGTGTTGGGGAAGATGTGGAGAAACTGGAGTCTTCCTACATTACTGGTGGGAACATCAACGGTTGCAGCTGCCCTGGCCAGTGTTTTCAGTGGTTAGAGCAGTGATGGCGAACCTTTTGAGCTTGGCGTGTCAGCATCTTGAAAAACCCTAACTTAACTCCGGTGCCGTGTCACATATAGAAATTTTTTGATATTTGCAACCATAGTAAAACAAAGACTTATATTTTTGATATTTATTTTATATATTTAAATGCCATTTAACAAAGAAAAATCAACCAAAAAAATGAGTTCTCGTGTCACCTCTGACACTCATGTCATAGGTTCGCCATCACTGGGTTAGAGCATTGGCCCAAGCACTAAAGCAGTGCTTCTCAACCTTGGCTGCACATTAGAATCACCTGGGAATCTTTTTTTAAAAATCCTGATTTCTGGGCCTCATCCTCCGGAAATTCTGTTTCTTTGTTACTAATGTTGTGGCCCCAACCCCATAACAAAGAAACAGGATTTCAGGAGGATGAGGCCCAGAAATCAGGATTTTAAAAAAGATTCCCAGGTGATTCTAATGTGCAGCCAAAGTTGAGAACCACTGCACTAAAGGGTCTCGGGTTTGATTCTCAGTTAAGGGCATGTGCCTGGGTTGCAGGTTTAATCCCTGGTCTCGGATGGGGTGTGTGAGGGAGGCAACCAATCGATATGTCTCTCTCACATCGATGTTTCTCTCTCTCCCCCTCCCTCCCTCCCTTCCCGTCTCTCTAAAAAACAATGGAAAAAATATCCGCAGGTGAGGAGTAACAAGAACAAAAAAGTTAGAGAATTGCCATATGGTTCAACAATTCCACTCCTATCCATATACCCAGAGAATGGAGAACAGGGACTCCATAACTGCACACACATGTCCATAGTAGCACTAGTCACAATCACCAAAAGGTGGAAGCACCCCAAATGTCCATCAACACAGGGATGGATGACTAAAATGTGGCCCATCCATACAAGAGAATATGACTCAGCCATAAAGAGGAAGGAAGCTCTGATATTGCTACAAGGTGATGAACCCTGAAAAGACTATGCTCAGAGAAAGAAGCCAGACACCGAAGACACATTGTGGATGAGCCCATTGATATGAAATGTCCAGAACCTGCAAACCCACAGAGATAGAAAGCAGACTGGTGGCTGCCAGGGCCTGGAGGGGGATGGGGAGGGACTGCTAATGGGAATGGAACTTCCTTTGGGGGTGACGGAAATGTGTGGGAACTACATAGAGATGGTGGTAGCACAACATCGTGAACACACCAAAGCCACGGAATTGTTCACTTTAAAATGGTAAATTTTATGTTCTTTGAATTTCACCTCATTACAAAAAGGGAAGAACTTTCTCTGACTCCCCCAACCTCTACCAATGAAAACTAGGCCCCACTTCTGGAGACAGGTGGTGGTGATGTTTACACAGCAAGGTGAATGTACTTAATGCCACTGACCTGTACACTTAAATATGGTTGAGAAAAAAAGGATAACTTTTCTATGTGTATTTTACCACCATTATAAAAACAAAGCCTTGGCCGTGTGAGTCTCAGCTGGCTCATCCCATGCACAAAAGGTTGCTGGTTGGATTCCTGGTGAGGGCACATACCGTTTCAGGCTTGATCCCCAGTTGGGGGCGGGGGTGCAGGAGGCAGCCTATCGGTGTTCTGCTCTCACATTGATTTTTTTTATCTCTCTCTCTTCCTCTTCCTCTCCCTCTAATAATCAATTTTAAAAATCTTTAAAAAACGAAAAAAGAAAAAGCAGCTCCTTTCCCTCTCTGCGCACTTAGCCAAACCTGAAATGACTGTGAGTTTCCAGGAGCGAGTCATCATGAAGGCAGGTGAGGCCCCTGGGCCCGGAGGACCAGGCTGGCTGTTGGTCTCTCTCACTGCTGCACCCCAGCACCCGGCCCAATGGTCTCTGCATCAGCTCAGAGGCCTTAAGTGGCCACCCAGCACCTAAAACAGCTTATCATCACTCAGCACCTTCTCTGCCAGGCGCCTCCCTCATGGGGCCCTCAGAGCCAGCCCTGGGAGGCAGGTGTCATTCAAGATGGCCATTTGATAGAGGAGCAAAGGGGTCTCAGAGAGGGAAAGGGACCGGTTGGGGTCCTGCAGCCAGGAAAGGAGGGGACCTGGATTTATTGAGAGCTGGGGAGGACTGGGGGCACGACTCCTGGGTCCTCTCACCTGGAGAATGCGGGGACCTGAGCGGCCACCCCTCCAAAGTCTCAGTGTCCCCAAGCCACCCCACTGTACTCACTACTTCTGGCTCTGCAGGTGCAGCGTGGAGGGTGCTTCCAGGTCCCCAAGAGGCTCCCAGGAGCAGTTCAAGTCGCCTAAGGGCCCAACACCATAGCACCGCAGGGGCCCCGGGCTGCCTGGAAGAGGGCGAGGGTCCAGGGAGGGGAGGGGTCAATCCCCTGCCTCCTCACTGCCCAGAACCCGCCCGCCACCCAAGTTCTGATCATCCTGGAGGATTACGGGGTCCCTTCCGCAAGTGAGGAGCAGGAAGGGGGCGCTGGGCACCTCCACCCAGGCTTTGGGCATAACTCCTCCCCCCTCTACCACATCCCGTTACCACCCCCAAGAGCTCCCACCCCAACCCCCACCCCCACCCCGGGGCTGACTTCCACCCCCTGCCTCGCGCTCCCCACTCCTCTCTGCGCCCTGTCCCTGCCCAGGGAGGAGCAGAGTGGGGTCCGGACCTCTGTCATTCATCCACGAACTTGGCGTTCGCCCTGGAGAATTCGCGCTTTAAGGCTGAGCGCGCGGTAGAGCGCCCCGCGCGAGCTCGGCCCAGAACTCACCCTGGACACTTGTCCGCGGGGACAGCAGCAACAGCAGAGGCAGCAGCCGGCAGGGCGCGCCCCAGGCCCCCCTCATGGCGGCCCCTGCGCCTCTGGGTCCCCCAGGGCCCTACGGGGCCCAGGCCGCGTTGCTCTCCGAGTCCAGCGCCCCAGCGGCGACGGAAGCGGAGCCACCCCTCCCAGCCGCCTCCGCACCTTGCGCTGGGTCCCCGCCCCTTCCCCAAAGCGGGAAGTCCCCGGGGGAGGGGGAGTGGGGAGGCGACTGGGGCGTCGGGTGGAGAGGGCTGAGGGCTCGGCCTAACTCCCCTGAAACTGAGCGCCCCCCGCCCCCCGGACCCCCCATGCCCCGCCCCGCGCACCACACACACAAACACACACACACACACACACACACACACACACACACACACTGCAGAGTCTTTTGCAACTTTTATTATTGCGGTTGGAGAAGGTTCTGATCTGTCCCCTGTGAATGTATGAGCGGCCAGAGACAGGTATTCGCATTGGCCATGGCACCCACAGCTGCCCAGTCCCCTGGTCTAGCAGAATATCTTGAGTTCCGTCTTGGTGCAACCGTCTTCGCAGCACTTCTTGAGGATGCTACCCCTGTCTATGTCGTCTCCCTCTTGTCCTTCTCCCTCTTCTCCTTCTCGGGTGACCCGCAGAGAACCATAGGAATCCTGGGCGGGCTTGGTCAGGACCCGCCAGTCACTGGAGCCTGCTGCCTCTCCCAGCTGGCTGTGTGCATAGGGCTCAGTGTGTGGGAAGGCATCCCCTGCAAAAGATGAGAAGAGTTCATGCTTGGGGCTCAGCTTCTGTCACACTCAGAGTCCTGGCTCCTGCTTGGTCCAGCTGCTGTTCTGTTCTTGAGACATTGTCTCCTGGTTAAAGGTTTTGATTCCACTCAGGTTTAGGTTTCAGCTTTGATGGGTCTAATATTCAACCTCACTGAGCTTGACCTTCCTGTCATTTATTTTCCCTTACTCTTTATTTATGGAGGACCTGGGGTTTAAGAACATGGGTTTTGCCGAACCCGGTTTGGCTCAGTGGATAGAGCGTCGGCCTGCAGACTCAAGGGTCCCAGTTTGGTTCCGGTCAGGGGCGTGTGCCTGGTTGCGGGCACATCCCCAGTGGGAGATGTGCAGGGGGCGGCTGATCAATGTTTCTCTCTCATTGATGTTTCTAACTTTCTATCTCTCTCCCTTCCTCTCTGTAAAAAAAAAATCAATAAAATATATTTAAAAAAAAAAAAAAAGAACATGGGTTTGGGAGTCAGACTGATTAAGCTTCAAACCAGTGTCTCAAAGTTATAATCCTGAGCAAGTGAATTTACTTCTTTGATTCTTAGTGTCCTTTTCTCCCAAGTGAGGAACATGATAACTCCTAGGAATTTAGGGTTTCATGGAGAGTGTATATATACCCATTAAAAAACACACAACACTTAGAACTGTGTCTGGCACATGATAAGCACTCAAAATAGTCCTGAGCATTCATGGAGGACTGACTGTGTGCCAGGCATTGTTTTAAGGCAGTGGTTCTCCCTTCAATACAGTTCCTCATGTTGTGACCCAACCATAAAATTATTTTCTTTTTTTAAAAAATATATATTTCTTTATTGATTTCAGAGAGGAAGGGAGAGGGAGAGAGAGACAGAAACATCAGTGATGAGAGAGAACCATTGATTGGCTGCCTCCTGCACTCCCTGCACTGGGGATCAAGCCCACAACCCAGGCATGTGCCCTTGGCCAGAATCGAACCCGGGACCCTCCAATCTGCAGGCTGACGCTCTATCCACTGAGCCAAGCCGGCCAGGGCTTTATTTTTATTTTTTTTTTTTTACACTAAACAACCTACAGGGCTGTTTTCTCTAAAAATGACTTTGAGTCTGCTCTGTTCAGTACCTCCCTGGGACACAAAAGGTATTCAACAGCACTTACTTGTTTACTTTTAAAAATCTCCCTCAGTGATATTAAGTATATTTTTGCTTTCCTGCCATATATATATATATATATATATATATATATATAATTGATTTTAGAGAGGAAAGGATAGAAACATAAATGATGAGAATCATTGATCGACAGTCTCCTGAATGCCCCCCACTGGGTATCGAGTCCCCAACCTGGGTGTGTGTCCAGACCTCTTGGTGATAGGTTAACGCTGAGGCAACTTTCCTGCTTTTTAAAATTATTACTTTGATTTGAAATATTTTGGTGGTAGAATGAGGGACTAAGAAAGATCCTATCAATCACATGGCTAGGTCCAATTTTTCTACAATATTACACGAAAGAGGTGGACTTCAGACTTCTAAATGAGTCTCCGCGAAAAAGTCCCCATTTTACCAAGCTTAAGCCATCTTGGGCTCTGAAAAGCCGTAAAACCTCTCAACTGCACATGCGTGTTCCCATAAAATTATTTTCATTGCTACTTCATAAGTGTAATTTTGCTACGGTATGAATCGTAATGTAAATATCTGATATGCAGGATGTATTTTGAACAACCCCTGTGAAATGGTCTTTTCACCCCCAAAGGGGTCGTGCGACCCACTGGTTGAGAGCCACTGTTTTAAGGGCTTTCATGGATAAACTGCTTTATTCCTGTCAATGACAACGCCATGAGGTGGGTACTGTTATTATGCCCTCATTTCCCAGGGAACACCACTGAGGCCAATTTGGTGGAGTAACTGCACAAGAACACACAGCTACCGAACTGTAGAGCGGCTGTTTGAGCCGAGAGGGCATGCCTTCTAGGTCCACACTTACATCATCATCATCATCATCATGACCAACATCTATTTTTCTGCCAGGTCCCTGCCCTTCAGGAACCTGGACCCCTACCCCCGACTGAGCCCAAACTGGGCCTCCTGCCTTCCTTGGACTGTGTCCTTACCTGTTATGACTCAATTTTGCCACCGAGCAAACTTGTGAGATGCAGGGTCTGCCTTCCATTTGCAGATAAAAAGGATCAGAGAGGAAAAGCAACCTGCTGGGAGCGTCACTCACTAGGTGGCAAAATCTAGCCTTGGACACCCCACACCCCTCACACCCCCTTCTCCAAGGGGTTGGAAAGTACTTCAGTGTCGGCTTCCGAATGGTGTCCCCCGGGAGTCCTGTAAGCAGCGGCCTTGCTCAGCGCAAGGCTGGGCACATAGCAGGTGCCCCAGAAATAGCATTCTGTCCTTGGACCCTGAGCCAGGGGAGATGGCTCCACCCTCCAGTTTTGGCCAAGTGGTTCAACTTTGAGGATGCAAGTTGTGAGCAGGGACTTCCCTGCCCTGGCCCCTGGTCTCATCTTTGTCCCTGTCTCTAGGCCCATCCCATGTCCCGTATCCCCCTTTCCTCCCTTCCACTACCTCGCGCCTCACCCATAGCTTCCTGGGCCAGGTTGTCCGACCACTTCTCGTAGGCTTTTTCGCAGTTTTGGAATATTGCCCGGGCCAAGTCCAGGCCGCAAAGCTTCACTTCTTCGGATTCTTCCTGGGCTTCGGCTTCCAGCCACAGCCCCCCGACCAGCACCCACAAGGCCAGCAACAGCAGCAGTGGGTGCTTGGCCATGCTGGACGGGGAGACCTGGGACGCCAGAGTGGGCACAGCAAGGCAGGTTCCCAGTGGTCAGTGCCTCTGCTGCTTCCTGGCCCCCATTTATACACCCAGCCCCGCCCACCCCACCTACACACACACACACACACACACACATCTGTTGTGGAGGAACAAGTGACCTCCTTTATCTCTTCCAGCTGAGGCGAGGCGACCATGGCCAGCACACCCCGACCTTTCCTGTTTCCCGGACTAAGTAAGCGATAACCTTTCTCCGGGAATGGGGTGACACAGTTTGGCTCATTGTCATCTTCAACAGAGAGAAGCAAGAAGGCCGCCCTCCAGTCAGCAGAGACCAGGAACCTAGACCTTCACTAGACCAGGAGACAGGGGGCATCGGAGAGGGTTAACTTGAAACACAGGCAGATAGGGCCGGGGTCCCATGGAAAACAAAGGCAGGTGGAACATAGGAAAGGGCAGACACGGACGTTTGAGCTGGCCTCATCACAGAACCCAACCAAGCAGAAATAATAAAATGTTTCTAAACTCAAAGCGGGAGGCATGGGAAAACAAGGGGGGGCCTGCAGCAACAAGACATAGGAACACATAGAAACAGGGACGTTCAGGTCCCTTGCTGGGCAAGAACCACTGAGGGAATTAATCAGGGGACAACACAGGTAGATATCGAAGCAGGTTTGGAGCTCGTTGTTCTGGGTCATGAGACAAGACCCTGGGAAAAACCCTCGGTTTCACGGTTCCAGTTATCAGCTTTGGGGGCTCGTCCAGGATCCAAGCTCTCTACATCACCGGTTAGCCTACAGACCCTATCGCTTCTTTTGATCTTTGCTTGGTAATTTTGGAGGCATTGCCGGGTGCCCACCAGCCACTTAATCACGCAGCCCTCTCTAGAGGGCATTTTTCTCTTTCACTTTCTAAATGTGCTTTCCAGCCTTTGGGCCTTTTAAAAGTGGGCATGGGTCAGAACTGGTTGTCGGGCTGAGTTAGAAAGCTATAGGCTTCCTTCCAGTTGCAGGACGAAGTCTGACCAATGACTAAATGAGGGCAAGGGTTCCTACCCAGGCTCCGAAGATCAAAGAGGCATATTGCTCCCTCTGGTTCGAGAATTTCCAATGTCCTTATGTGAGTAAGGACCTCGCAGAGGTGTCTGGGGTTGAACCCTAAGACGTGCAGGGGCCTCACAGAAACTCCAGAATACAACTGTAATGAAACTCTGACCCGTCCAGGGAGGACACATAGGAGCTGGTCACAGTGCTCCGGGTCCTCACGGCGGTTTTAGTCAGCCGGGGGGAGAAACGGAGGCACATAAAAGGAGGGGCATGACCAGAGGTTTAACTGCCCCTGGGAGTTCCCTCCACAAACAGCACTCTCAGGCCCACTACGTACAGCCCAACCCTGGCCTGTTCTCTTGTGAGGATTTCTATTGCTGGAGATCCGCTCCAACTTTCCTGCCTTCTCCCTCCTCCCGCCCGAGATTGGGGGTAGAGGGACGCTAAGTTCTTCGGATCCTGGCCCAGGCTGGCTGATCTGCCGTTCTTGGTGACCCCTACCTCGGATGGACCCAGCCATGCGTGAGCAGAGGATCCCCTCCTCCCCTCAATGCCTCCTTGCACCCGGCACCCACACACCTGATTTCTTCCAGCTCCTTGCAGTGGCCTTGTGGGGGTCAGAGGGTCTTCAAGAGAATGTTAGGGGAGCCAAGGAGGGAATGCCCTTGCCTGCGGGGCACAGCTCACGTATCCTGGTGTTCACACCACATCATGTGCTGGTGAGCATTTGAAGCTGGATGGGGAGGTAGGTCAGGGCATTTTCCATACGTTAGGGCAGTAGAGCACCAGACAGAATAGAGGAGGACTGATTAGTTCAGATTTTTCAACAGTGCTCGAGGCCCTTCCGCAGGTGATAGCGTGCTCCCCTGTAGTTCCTAGGACCTTTGATCAAAGAGGCAAATTGCTCCCTCTGGTTTGAGAATCTCCAATGTCCTTATGTGAGCAAATACCTGGTCAAAAACTCTGGTCTGGCCATCTTCAAAAGCACACGTTTCTGGGAAAAACTTAGCCACGTGTGCAGATCAAATGAACTCATTGCAGCTTTGGTTGCTAGATCGCCTGCTTTTACCTTTGTTGCAAAGAGTCTGTAAAGTGGATTCGGAGCTGCTTTTGTGTCTTTTGCTTTGTTAAGAATAAAATATGTTCATAAGGGTCAATCTAAGGAAAGCTGGTTGTATGCTTTCCTTGGTTATTGAGGATTGAGGCTTCTAAGACTTATTAATTGGAAATTATATGATTTTGGTAATAAAAGGCATGCTGCATAGAGATGCATTTTGAAAGCTAGTTATTTCTAAAAATTGTAAAGACATTTATAAAAATTATAAAAGGTTTATACGGAAAAATGTTAAAAGGGAATTAAAACAAAGCCGAACCCTGTGGGCAGTTTGCAGCCAGCTTGTAACTAACAAACCATTATCCTCCCCAGCCAAAGACACAAAGCAAATAGTTAAAAAAAGAAAAAGAAAAAACCTCCCTACAGAAAGGGGTGGGGAGGGAGAGGAAAGGTTAAAAAAAGGGGGGGGGGCATTTTACTCCCTAGGCAGTTTCAAGGCTTGGCAAGATAAAGTTGTCAGATGCTTCTCATGATTTCTGAAAAGACTACAACAATATAACAGAGAATCTTAAGTACTGATCTGTACCAGAATATTCAACAGAGCAGTTTTAAGACCTACAGACAGGAGGGTGTGTGATGCCTTGGACCCCACCCAGCCTGCTCTTTCGATTGGCTGGGGGCCCGCCTATGCTTCCTGAGCCAGATGTATAGGTTACATAAAAACACCAATGATGACAGATTGGCTGCCTCCTGCACGCCCGCTCCTGTGGATTGAGCCTGCAACCCAGGAATGTGCCCTTGACCGGAATTGAACCTAGGACCCTTCAGTCCGTCCCCAGGCTGACACTCTACCCACTGAGCCAAACCAGCCAGGGCCAATTACTGTTCTTAGTGTATTCATGCAAACACTCAGGCCAAGTTAAAACTAGACTTAATGCAATAAATGAATTGGTCTTTAATAAGAGTAAGGGTGATTCTAGGGAGAAAAACTATATTTCAACAGATTCTATAATACACACTTGTGAGTTGATTCCAATTAATTGTTTTGAACCTATGAATTGAACTGAATCCTAACTTTGTCTAGTTTTCTTGGATGTTTATCTACAACTCTCCAGACTATTACTTACTTTTCTCCCATCCTTGGCTTGGAATCATTGAACACTTTTCCTTTCATTGGATCTCTTGTCACAATTCTTATTGTTCAGTTTGTCTCCACCAGGTTGCAAGCCCTACTCACATACAGGGAATACCACCTCTAAAGACCATCGCCACCTCCTTCCGTGCCCAGCCTCATTGTCCCTCTGACAGAGAACAAGGATTTCGTGGCTCTGAAGAAAAACGTCACCCCCTTGGCAAGAAATATTCAAAGTGATGAATACCAAGAACCTACAACCAAGATTACTTTATCCAGCAAAGCTATCACTCAGAATTGAAGGTCAGATAAAGAGCTTCACAGATAAGGAAAAGCTAAAGGAGTTCATGACCACCAAACCAGTATTATATGAAATGCTGAAAGGTATCCTTTAAGAAGAGGAAGAAGAAGAAAAAGGTAAAGATACAAATTATGAACAACAAATATGCATCTATCAACAAGTGAATCTAAGAATCAAGGGAATAAATAATCTGATGAACAGAATGAACTGTTGACTGTAATAGAATCAGAGACATAGAAAGGGAATGGACTGACTATTCTTGGGGGGGAAAGGGGTGTGGGAGATGCGGGAAGAGACTGGACAAAAATCATGCACCTATGAATGAGGACAGTGGGTGGGGAGTGAGGGCGGAGGATGGGGTGGGAACTGGAATGAGGGGAGTTATGGGGGGGAAAAAAAGAGGAACAAATGTAATAATCTGAACAATAAAGATTTAATAAAAATAAATAAAAAAAAGAAAAGAAAAACGTCACCCCCTTTAATGTGGGATTTGTTTAGTCCCCTTCCAGTCTGTTAAAAAGAAAATTGGGTCTTTTGTATATAATCTTTTGGTCAAATAAGTTTGACAACCTTCCCAGGGTGTGAATTTTAGGAATTAGACTTGTGGGAATCAGAGGAAGCCTTAGTCCTTACCAGATTTACGGGAGAGCCCAGAAGGAAGTGCCCTGCTCCGGAGGCACGGCATGCTTCTGATCCCTACACCGCTCCATATGCAGGAGGGCACGTAGACCCTGGAGCTGAGGGCTTTTTACTTTGTGCAAAAAAACAAGCAGAGCCGCGGACTGGAAGAGGAGGGCCAAAAGAAAGAGACCAAAACAAGCCTCCAGCACGACGTGCAGTGCCCTCCGTGTTCCCAGGTAGGTCATGTGCCAGACCCCTGCGTTATCAAGGAGATCACCTCACCAATGGACATAAAATCCCAGTCTGAACTAAAGTAGGGTTCCACCCTTCCCATATGAGTCCCCCATTACTGACAGACTGGGGAGACCAGGATAAAGAAGATAGACCTTACGATAGCGAGGGCACACATAGGAATAAGACTGGAGCTGATTGTACTGTTCCTGGAGCTCAGGGTGGTGGCCCCCCAGAGTTCTGGGTACTGGCCAAACTCTCCCAGCCCTCGGCCTACAGTCACTTCCTTTTAAACTCCCCTAGGAAACTTGATGGGTACTTCAAAAACATTAGAACCATCTCCCACACTTGCAATCAGGGACTCAGGTTAGTACAGGCTTCCCCAAATCTGGAGCAGGATGGGTTCCTGGTAGGCCAGGCTGTTAAAGTGCGCACAGACCAGGAGGTCAGTTCTGTTAGGGGACGCACACTACCAGGTTTTCTCACCCTAGATCTCGCCTTTAAGTACAACTAAGTCTGGCAGGTCCTCTTTTGTGGTCACACACAAAGAGGCACTCATAAGCGTTCAGGGCATGGGCCCCCTAGATCTCGCTGGTAAGTGCGATGATGTCTAGCAGATCCTCTTTT